CACATAGCATGCTAGGGACATAAAACAGAGAGGAACATGGCAAAGGTAACACAGAGGACAGGCATGCAAGAACTCCTTCCACTGCCATGTGATTCAATTCATGTTGCTCCTCTGTCATGTGACCCATTACACTGGGTTCTACTGTCATGTGATTCAGTTCACTTTGTATGTTTGTCATGTGACCCATTACACTGGGTTCCACCGTCACGTGTCCCATTGCACATCTCACACATGCTCTGTGATCCCCAGGGTTCTCTGCCAAATGACCTATTACCACTGTTTATCATGTGACCTGTCACTCTGGCTTCTGGATTAAACAATCGGTCCACATGTTGACATCACATGTCAAGGTCAGCCAGAGGCAGATGAGGCTCATCCCCAGTCTGTGACATTACACCTGCAGCCCTAATCATTCACTTAGGTTAATAAGACTACTTTGAATTTTAAGCAGGCTGTGCGTTGGACGGCAAAGGGATGGCGTGCCACTGGCAAAGCCCAAACGTGTCAGCGTCCCTGACACGCAGCAGCTGCTCGCTTCCCAGCATTCCCCTAGCAGGCCTGCGACACACATGGGCACGTGTGTTTGTGTTGCGTGAGCGCACATGCACGACAGCTGTGAACATTAATAAGTCATCTGGCCTGTTTTTGTCACCTATGCGTTTTGCAAAGGCACGCTTGTGTCTGCGTGACTTGGAAACACGCCTGCTAGTATAGCACAGCTTGCAGGGGATGGCTACCATGTTCACGGCAGAGATTTAGGGGGCTGGTTTTAAATGCCCACCCCAATAAAAACTCACAAACACCCTTGGTTGTATACAGCATCCCTTCACGCCTACACTGATGTTTTAATGTCTTAATATCCCACCATCAGCTTTGTGATGACAGACACAATGCCTTCCGGGGCTCCATGCTCAACACACACAGAAATCCACCAGGCGGTATTTCAAAGCTTCCCTGTACAGTCCGGGGTCACTGAGCTTTGGCTCACCAGTGTGCCAACGGCTGACATCCCTAAACCAGTGTCTCCCATACCCGGTACTTGGCGACCCACAGACAGTCCACGGTTTTGCTTCCAGCTCCCTGCTAGACAATCCACATTGTCACTCCCTACCAGGAATTGGGAGGGAGCAAAGACGTGGACTGTCTGCAGGTCCCTGAGAACCGGATTGAGAAACACTGCTGTAAACAGCCGGTACTGAGCCACAAGGCCCATGCTGCTTATGGAGGTTGTTGTGTCGGCACACCAGAGGAATGCAGGCTCTCATGCTCCTACAGCAGGAGCAGCACGTGGCTGTAAACAGCGGACATGCTTCACACTTCACAGACACTGTTACCCTTCACAATGTGCTCAGTTAAATCCATCTGCCACCTCCACTTACAATATATAGCAGTTTCTTCTCCAGAATTAAAGAAATTTAGCAAAAAGGGGGCAGTGACAGGTAGAAGGGTGCCTGGCTATCCCTCCTGTGATTGGTTACATAAATGTCCTGCATCCCACAAGTGCGCGCGCACACACACACACACACACACACACACACAAAGACATGCACACACATGTTACATTCATATCCTTGTGGGGACTCTCTCTTCATTTCTATGGGAAAAACCCTAATGCCAGCAATGACAACCTTAACCATAAGTAACCAAACAAAATACAAGACTTGCGGTCACAGGTGTTTATGAAATTGAGTTTCCCCTTGTGGGGACTGAAAAAAATGGTCCCCTGATGTCACAATAACAGGTTTTTACCACATTGTGGGGACATGTAATATATACATCACCCACCCACCTACATACACACACACACACACACACACTCTATTCACAGTGCTATCTTCAGTCCCATTCCACAGACTCTCTCCTTTTCTTTCTCCGAGCAGATAACTCTCAGTGCTGATTCTGTAACCTGACACTCGTAGCCGTTTGGCAGCAGTCTCCTCTTTTGACCAAACAAACAAAAAAACGAGAGAGGGAGAGAGAAAAAAAAATCTCTCCACCCCCACCCCTACGCTTCCCTGCTCCGTACACAGCCTGGAGCTCTCTGCTCCGCGTGGCACCGGGCCATTGCAGGTGTGTGTGCAGGCAGAGGGAGCAAGAACAAGTACACAGATATCATCTTGTGTTCTTCGGGAGCGCTGAGGGCAGGGTGGGTGTGCAGTGAGACCCACCTGACGCATGTCCGGCACCCCAGGCCAAAAGTGAGGTCCAGAGAGCAGGCCTGCCCATCGGCCTCCTCTTACCTTGCCGCGGCGTTGGGGTGCGGGCCTATGCTCCCTTCACACGCAGACAACACGGCCTACGGTCATACCGCGCACAGCCTGCCAACCCTGACTGAAGGGGGCAGGTATTTCGCGGCGACCTCTAGCTGCAGCAGGTAGCACTGCAGGAGGGAGGTCTTTTGTTCGCGGTGACGGACGCTTCCGCACGAGCACAAAACAGATCGAGTGATGAGGACAGGAGCCGCAGACGAGAAGCCTGGGGTTCCGCCTCGCTCTCCCTCAGTCAGCGATGTCGGCCCTGTCCCCTCCAGGGAGGGAGGGGCCCCTAATACCCGCGCCATTTGTCTGAAAGGCTTTTCATTAGGGGCACGCGAGACATTAAATGCTGTCATTACTGCAGGGGCATCTGTCCGTGCTGAGCCAACATCACAGGGCCTCTGCTAATTACGGCACTCGAGTCACACAGACGAAAGGCAGAGGCAGAGCAGGGGCATGCAGACACAAATACACAGCGGGACTCTTTAAAGACAATAAAGCACTAAGGGGGAGAAACATACCTTTGACACGGAAAACAAAACATGACAGCCGGAATATTAGCTTGGGACATGGGAAGGTGATCCTCGGTCTTTTTGTATGTAAACTGCTTTTCTATAAGTATGAAGAATGCCAGGTAGTAATGACAGTCGCCATGACAACACCCTGTCTACAGGGAGATCTAGGCATAATTAGACAGGCCAAGAACCACCGCAAAAAAAAATGCACAGATCTTTATTTTCCAGTTCTGCCATCTAACAATGGGTGCATGCAGCTGGCTGGAATTCTGATGCAATTTACTTTTGCTGATGCGGGGTATTAATTTATAGGTACCTGGGAGAGGCTGGGCCCTCCATGCCAGCGTTTATTTTGAATAAGCCCGTTGTTAAAACAGTAGCCCCCAAAATCCACAAGGCCGGGCCCTCATGCTGCTCTCATTAAAATCATTTGTAAAATTCGGGCCATAAAACCAAATGGATGCATTTGCTGGCATCAGGGTTCAATTAATGTTATTGAGGGGCCAGACGACGTTTGGACTAGGGTTGGGACAACGCGTCGACGTAATCGATTACGTCGACGCGTAAAATACGTCGACGTAAAAAAATCTGCGTCGATGCGTCGTCATTTTCAAAACAGACATGGCGGCAGCGAGTAGCGGCAACATGAGTGAGGCAGTCGCGGTCGACCCAAACCACTCCACCCGATCACGCAGTTCTACAGTATGGGGCTATTTTAACCGAAAAGGAAGTGATTCATTTTAAATGTTTTGTTAACTTTTCCTTAATTTTATATATGTTTGCACATTTTATTTCTTGTTAAATGCTATCTCTAATATAAGATGGTACGACTACTACAACTTTATTTTGCAATTTTGTTCATTAAAAGGTCTTCAAATTAAGAAATTTGTGTTTTTCATTGATATACATAAATTAGTAAATGTGAAATTGCTATACAAGTCAAATAANTGATTCTCCTCCCAAGAGATTTCACCGCAGTTGGAAGAGCAATAGAAAAGCACATGTGAAAGACGAGCGACTGCGTCAGGATGGGGAGACCCCTGTAACGCAATTTTTGATATGTAAGTCAATCAAGGGGAGGGTATTGTCAGCATGGCAGATTCTGCCCACCTGGGGGCTCACCTGTCACTTCAGTGACCCGCCACTCAAACGGACCTGTGAGAAGAGAACGTTCCAGAAGGGAAGCCATTAATCTATGCTTAGCCTGGAGTACTGCCCAAACAAACGAAATAGTCTTATCTAGTCTCTCTGTGTTTGTGTGTGTGTGTGATTTGTACCGAGCTGAGTGGGTGTGTGACAGCCCAGAGCTTTCCACTCCCTTAGCTCTCATGTCTTCCCCAGACAAACACATACTGTGGCTATTAACCTTGTCTTGTCTCTGTTTTCAGCCCCATTGCTCTATAACTGTCGCTAAATCTGCCAAATAGCTGTAAACAGGATGCGGCAGCCTGTCATGCTCAGAGTCCATCTTTGTCAGGCCTGTGGGAGCAGGCAGGCGGGGCCCAGAGTGGTGCCTCTCCTTGGGGAAAAGGTGGAGATTAACAGCCCCCGTCTCGTACGGCAGCGAGGGCCCGACTGCAGTAGGCAAGCTGGCGGCGGCTGCGGGCAGCTTGGGGGAGTTAGCAAACCAGTATGGGCTGACTCTCTCCTACAGAGACTGCTGATTTTTACCTGCGCTGGCATAAAGATGACCCCGCTCACACACACACACACACACATACACACACACACACACACACGGTGCATGTACAAACAAACACGGGTATTTAGAAACATGCTTCTTGCACATGGGACACAATGGTGATTCTTGTAAAACAGGCTGCAGGCTCCTCAAAGCCTCTACTATGACATATCATACTTTATCAGTTTGAAAACACCACACAAAAACCCCTCTGAAGCACCCTCATGTTTAGGATGAGTAAGAAAAGTCCTCTCTTTATTATTCTAGCGGTAAAACTGAAGACGGAAATGAATAAAACATCAGAAGGGGAAAAAAAACACTATATCGGGGAAAAAAAAATAAGATAAACAGAATTATTCATTGTCTGCGAGCAGCTTTTGGCCTGACGTAATGTGAGTGGATGTGAATCAGCCCGTTGACACAGGGCATGAACAAAAAGGGTTGGAGAGGTGGCAAGGTGCAGCGTGAGCAAAGGAAGATGAGGGTAGGCGGAACACAACTCCCAGTCCCAGGGGGGGCATCACGGTGTTGTAGGAATGCACAGCCTACCTTGTCTTCCATCCGTGCCAGCCTAGAGCCAATGGTATTGGCCCCTTTGTCCTTGCTGCGCTCTGCAAATAGGGTTGAGGGAGCAGCGTGAGGCTTGGGGAACAGTGACCAATATGGAGAGTGTCATTCAGGACAGACTGCAAGCCTGTCATGGAAATCAATCCCAGTACAGCAGGAGTCACCAAACTCTGGTTTAGATAAGAATTACTGAAGGGTATTTATCAAGAAAGTCCCCCCCTCCCCCCAGACATAGAAGCTCGCTGTATACCAATACTGCCTACGGCTGAATCCATTCCAGCCCCCCCCGCCACCCCACCCCACCCCACCCCATCCCCAGTCCTGATCTCACCTTTCAGCCTTTTATTATCCGTCTACGGACAGGATTGAGGTGTGTGTGACAATGATTCCTTTCTCTGAAGGCTAAGAGCCAGAGGTGTTGTGGCAAGCAGCTAAAATGTGGGCAGGGACATCTATGGGCTCATTCACGCACAAACTCAAGAGTGGTGGAGGCTTTCCAGTCCAGTGGGGAGAGAGGAAGACAAAGGAAGGGAGGAAGAGCAGGAAGGAAGAGAGTGAAATGGAGAGAGGTAAAGGGCTGAGGGTTATGAAGTGTGAGAGGACGCAGAGAACAAGAAGGCAGGGGGAGGGAGAGAAATATGAAAAAATGATCACTTCAAGGCCCCTCCCAGAACAGGCAGCGCTGAGGTTTGATCGTAAAGAAGTCTGAAAGGTCCCTTGATGTTTTATTTCAGTGGAGCCATGTTGCCAAGCGCATTTCTCCCCAGGAAACGGGCTTGTGTGATTTTTGGAAGAGCTCAGAAGTTAAGAGGCTGTGGCAGAGGCAGAGTTCACCAGCAGGGCAGACGGTGGGGGGGAGGGGGGGGGGGTACATGGTGGTGTGCTGGGTGGGATCGCGGACGCTGAGGCAGAAGAGCAGAAAGAGGCCAGCACAGTACGAGGGCCAAGGACTCAGCGGGCTGGTCTGTTTGTGGGTCGACCCAGTGGCTACATTTTCATCATGGAGGATAATCGCATACCTGAGCTGGTCTGGAACAGCGGCAGCTTCCCGAGGGACTGGTCCAGCCTGGCAGGGTAAACACAGACAGACTTCATACTGCAGATGCCCACGAGCACGGAGCTCTCGGCACCATAAGACTACAAGGACACAGTAAGCCAGAGGTGCCCAGGCTGCCCCGCAAAGTCCGGCCCACGCCGGTTTGTTCTTCAACTTCAGCTGTCAATAAAAATACAGTCGACTGCACAATGACAGCCATGTTAAAGTAATTTCTTCTTCTGTCGTCCAATCCGTAATTCTAAAATGTGAATACACTTCTCAATATACTGTCCATTACCGTTATTAGGCCTCATTTAATCAGTGATAACTTTTGAACTGGTACCATTTTAACTACAAAGGACTGATATTTAAATGTAAGACCACTTTAATTTATTACACCCATAACTGCTTACCCAGTACCGGGCTCAGTAAGTCTGGAGCCTGTCCCAGGAAGAATGTGGCCCAAGGCAGGGGCAACCTGGATAGGATGTGGGCCCATTAACGGGAACATGCTAAGGCCATTTTAGATTAGGGGTCCCCAAGGGCTAAATTCCATCAGCAACACAAAGCCAAGGGCCACTGCGTCCAGAAAAAATGCCAACTGGGAGGAAGGGGGGGGTAATGATTAAATTCGCTGACGGGTGGGGACAAGGGGAATCGTTTGCGTAGATTCAATAGTATTTCAATTCCGGGTTCCAGAAGCTGGTAACCACAGAGGTAGAGACCTCAGTTCCATGGACTCTGGGAGGAAACGGACATAAACATGGGGGAACATGCACAGACTGAGCCGGAGGCAGAATCCTACCCCCAACCCTGCACCAACTGGCCTAACTGAGGGTTAAAAGTTTTTGGTACCCATTTTGGTTAGTGTAAACCAAAATTTTATAAAGGACTATTTTTAAAATCCTAATTTCCTTCATTCACTCAGAAAGCTGCACAATCAAGCTAAATTGACCAATAACTCCAGTGCAATGAAAACCAACATTCCCTGCGGCCACTGAGGACCAGGGCACAAAAACACGCACTGACACACACATACACAACCACATATAATATGAGCAGAATCCAGGTGAGCAGGGGATATATCAGTGCCATATGACAGCACTGGGCATGTGCGAAGGGTAGCCATGGAGACAACCAGCCAGCCGCCGTCAGGGTACCTACCTCCTCTGTAGCTCCTTAATCCGCAGCATGAGGTTGAGGTGTCCCTGTGAGTACTGCTCGATCACATCCCGCACGTCGTACGGCTTTCGTGCTTGCTGCAAAACACAGAGCGCTTTATCCGCCTCGCCCCAGCACTGCTCCTCTGCCCGTCTCTAACAGGATAAGCAGGGAAATGGGTGCCCTTTGTGATGGGGGTTAGGGGCAGGTCAGGTCAATGCAGAGAGGACCGAAGAGAAGGATCAGTGAGGGAAATATAGGGAATATAGGACTACAAAGGACACCCCGAGAAACGAAAATTTGCGTCCGGGGAAACCTAAACATATGGTAACCTTACAGCTAACTCTCGGTTTACAATCTACAGGCAAAGGACACAGTATATGTGCATGCAAGTCGTTTTCGGCAAAAGTTACAAAACACTAAGCTAAAGTTTGTTAAATGACACAATTCACTGTTCACACGAAAAACAAAAATAAAGTTTCAAAGATCCAGTGGTTTCCGGAAGTTGATATCACTCGTGAGCAGTGTGACACGTAGGGCTGTGCATATCATTTACTTTATAAAGTGAACGTGTGCACGAGCCTTGTAAACACTGTGTGATACTAAGTGGCTGCCGTACATTGAAAATCGGTGCTTTTTCCTTTGCTTGGTACTCAACTGTGACTCGCAACGCTGGATCATACGGGTTACAGAGCTAAACCTGGACAAACCGCCGGTTTTTGATGGAGGGGCCCAAAAAGAGGACGGGTGCGGGGAACCCCAGACGTGTGGTAACCCCATCACAGAGCTGAGCCTGGACTCCTGCTGGACGGCGGAATGCTCCGCTCCATTCTGCATAACAAGGCGCAGGTACAGTTAAGAAGCAACTCTAAGCACACACCCATCTTCCCAAATGTACAATGAGCCCTTCAGTCCTTCCCCTGTGCCACACCGATTTCTGTATCACAGCTCCGGTCTCCATGTCCCTAATCGCCGAGCTCTGAGGACTCACTGTGTTCCACTAATCTATGCACCTTCCTCACATGTACTTGCTCTTTTTACGCTTTCTTCTTAATTATTTCTTTGCAGTAGACTATTATTCTAGGAGTTTTTAATTTCTGTGATGTTGCTGGACAAAAATACCCCCCGTAAACTTATCTTATCTTACAGGCCGAGCCACAGCGCCTGAGCCGGCAGCGAGTCAAAGCTGGAAAGTGTGCATGATGGCTGGCTCTGGCACTGGGATCCACACAGACCACAGGATGGACTACCCTGCTAACCACACCAGCACCTCTTACCAGCAGCAACCCAGCTTTCCCATCCAGGTACCGGCCAGGCCCAAACCCGCTCAGCTTCAGATGGAATCTGATTCTGATACCTAATTCATTACCTAGTTGATTACATGTGGCCACAAATGTTTAACTGTTGCAGTATTATTAATAATATTGACAGTGTTATTAATCTGAATCTGATATGAATGGAAAAGGCTGTAGAAAGCTACCATTCAAAATGCATAAAGAGTAGGATGGCAGAAAGGCAAAAGGAGCTGGAAAACAGGCTGGTGGGCTGGATAGATGGAGGGATGGGTGAAAAAAAAGTGTGAAAGATGAAGGGAAATGAGAGAATGGATGGAAAACCCATGGAAGAGGCTAACAGCTAGAGAGATGGAGAGAGAAAGGGAGAGAAGTGCATCCAAGTGGCTGATGACTGCCAGGTAAAACAGCATCTGAGTGATGTAACCCAACCCGTGTATCTCTGCGCTGCTCTCCTATGTAACCAGAGACTAGCAGGAGGACAACCCACCTCCGGATTCAGGACGTGTCGCAAGTCCCTCTAATAAGTTCTGCTATAACGGCCATCAAAGTGAATTAGGGGGGACATTCATCATGAGGCTGAAGAGTTTGCCTTTGCACCCACACCTGGCTGTCACTCAGTGTGTCTGGAGGGGGGGGGGGCGGGTTGAGCGAAATCTGTGACTGTCCAGCTGTGTGGGAGAGCAGCCAAGTCCCTGCCGAAAACCTTGTCAGATACCCAAGTTCAATCGCTTAGCTTGAATTTTCAACTTTATTTTTTGACCTAAATAGACATAGACTTTTCCACACGAGCTGGAAGAAAACGGCCCTCCAAAATGGAGAGTGTGGCCTTGCTGATTGTGTCCCTCAGGACGGGAAGTGCTGATTCATCAGGCAGGAGTGCCTGGACTGAACTCACAAGGAAATGTGGAGGGCAAAGCATTATGATACACTAGGAGAGACATGTATGAAAACTGGCATTTTATGGTGATGAAAACATCTGTTTTTACTATGAAGAGTCATGGCCGGGTAACTTGGGAGCGTTTGGGAATTCATCCCGCCAGTCTAATTGGAGGAAAGTGATCCAGGCAGGGCACAAAGAGATGGTGACAAGATGGAGCCATTAACAGGTAGAGGTAGTGAGGGGGGGGGGGAGCGGGGCATTCTCGGGGGGTGACCCTTTCTCTCCCTGTCCCCGGCCAAATAAACAAACTCCTCTTTCAGCACTCCGGGTCAGAGAAAATGGAAGGCTTGCTCCCTAGGGATCCAACCATTACTTGCCCCTGACCAATTAAACAAAAAAGAAAAGCTTTATTGGCAAAAAATACACGAGGTAAATACCAACACAGCACGTCACTGTCTGAAAATGTCAACGTTGCACCAGGTGAAAGGAATTAACTCTGTCTCCATAGATACCCATGATGGTGAGTCTGCAGGGCTGAAAGGTCGAGGCTGTTGCTGTCCTACAAAGAGCCGGCATTCACCTGTCACTCACCTGAAACTTCTTCTTGGCCACGAAGTACCGCATCCGCTGGACCACGCGAATCGCCACTCTGTGTGACTCCTGCATCCTGGGAGTGTTTGTAGGTAGATACGCATGCGTCAGCGTGGACATATGTGTTGGTGCACGTGTTTGCGGGAAATAGGAGGGGTGTGTGAGTGTGTGTGTGTGTACGCGTGTGTATCAGTATTTGAGAGAGAGGGAGAGAGAGAGAGAGAGAGATAAGGGAGGACAGGTGAGGCTATTGAAAACAGACCCCTGAGGCTCTCACAAAGACCTATAGAAAAGGCCTTTTTTTGTGTCAAATGGTGTTGGCTTTTCTTTCCCTGCGCCACAGTGACAATACACTCCACTGTCGCCGTCGGGAACTGTCGATTTCAAAAACAAACACAAAAAGGAGAAAGGGAGAAGGAAAAATGTCCCACCTGAAAAGGGATGCCAGCGACATTGCCTTTGTGAGTCGGACACCCAGCATGCCACAGGAAATGGCACACAGGCCTCGCGCGCGGCTGAAAGACGCCCACGATTCAGCGCGGAAACTCTACACCCAGCGGATCATTAGGGTGCTCAATGCCTCGGTATCGTTCCATTACAAAAGACGTGTAACACACTGTTCTCTTCATTATAAGTAATGGTATAGGGCATACATTTATCAGAAATACAGAAGGGAGAGAGCGGGAAATCAAATCCCTTCCTGATCTTTATTACGGCCCATTATGTCGCCCCCCTCTCGTGCCGTGGCAGAACAGATGGGGTGGGCTGCTCCACAGCTGCAACAAAGTGTGTCGCTTGAGAGATCGTCATCTCGAGAATGACATCATCAGAAAAAGGTCAAGCGTTCAAGCATGAGTATCCAGCATGCACCTCAGCTCTTGCACGGCCTGCCTTGTATCAGACGTCTGCTTATTCACTCAGCGGGAGCCAGCGGTTGCGCAAAACAAAACACCGTAAATACTAGGTATGCTCATTTCGATTAATTTTCCCAACCGACAACCGCCGTTCGTTAACCGAACATTAACCGTTAACTGATTAGATTAGAATATTAAATTCCTCTGGGGTCGGCGGTCCCGCCGGCGGGATCTGACAGAAATTTCGCCAAACCATTTAAATAACTCTGCG